GTACCCAACACGATTGAATTGAGTCAATGTCTTGCCCGGCATGGCGTCAGCCCTTTCATAAAAAAGCCATCTGCTCCTTGGGACTATCAGCAAGAAAAGTTTTTTTCAAAAGTCACATTGCCGCTTTTACTTTACCTAATCATGCATTGTGTCTTTTTATGCTCTCCCCCCCCCCCCCCCCCCCCCNTATTAATATCTTTAGTTGAAGATATTGTGCTAGAGAAGTTTCCAGTCTCAGCCAAAACAATCTCACCCAAGTGGAAGGTGTCATGATCGATAAAGCATTTTGTAGTTGGCCGGTTGGTGCATTTTCTGTATGTACAGCCCTTTTTGATAAAATTTTTGCATATATCACAATTGTAATATACACATTCTGTGAACATGGTTTCATGCAATCATACGTGGAATGTGTAAAAAAAGAACTCTGAACAACAGGAAGTTATCGACTAGTCTTGCCTACGTCGCCATGTGCCAGCTTCCGGCCCCTAGCAACAAGCGCCATATCAAAATACTATATTGCCAGGCCAGTCAACAAGCACGTTACTTGAATATATTACCTGGAATCTTTTCTAATTTTGAGGTGAGAGAAAATTTACCAGCATTTATATTTTATATATCACTAGAGGAGTAAATTGCTATACATTTGTGAAGATAACAGGCATTTGTCGACGTAAATCAAAGGACGGGCACCTTGCAACAACGTTACAAGTTGCAATGCAAATTACAGCGTAGATGGAGTTTTTCTGTCCATGTTTCTGCACCGTCTCTGCTCCATTTTATTATGGTTTCACATATTTAGAAAATGTGCTGGACTCAGCCCTCAGTTGGACATGATATAGTGTAGAATTGGATTCCTAGGGGCTGATATACTGGTTGAAGTACTGAAGCGATTCTGCACAGCACTTTTAGCATGTACATGTACATGTGGATCTAGCTGCCAATGTATGGTTTTTAAATCAAGGAATCCAAACAAGTCATCAATTAAAGATATATCATTGTAGTTAATCACAGTTTTCTGTGTGCACTATTGGAACTGTAATCTCAGAAATGATATGTTAACACTTGAAGGTCATGTACATGTACATGTACTGTAGATATTTCATGTACATTGCATTAATGTCATATAATCATTGAATCATATAAATTGAAAATAACATTCATTTTTGTTTTTAGAAATAACTCAAGATGGGTCAGGCCTTGCGCAAGGCTAAGGAAGGGACCTCAGCTGCAGGAGGGGCAAGGGGAAAACTGGAATACAACGCTGCTAATGAAGAGCTGCTGAACAGTGTTGTGAAATATGTGGAAAATATCAAAGATCCAGAGGAACAGAAACTTATCTTCAAGAAGCCAATCAAGTGGGAAAGCAGTCTTCAGCCTTCTGATTTTAATGATGATGCTTATGAGAAAAGGTAACTGCATTGATAGCTCAGGGCTTATTTCAAGTCTAAAGTTTCAGTCTTAGTTTAGATTGCTTAATAGTTAATTGTAGTTGATGGTCCTGAACGATCAATATTTACCACTAAGTGTACAAATCATTGCTTTGTCACACTTGGCCCATAAAAAAAATTTAAAACATAAGAAAATAGTGCTAAAATTATTTGAAAAATTTTGCTTGGTGGGCTGAAATTGTTTATAACAGACTGCTCTAATACCATTTATTGATTTTATACATTTCAGTGTATATCTGTATATCTAAAACAGTTTGTAATTAAAGAGTGTAGAAATCATATATGTGGTATATTTGTCTTCAGTACAGCTTATATTCTCATGCTCTGTTTTTTCCAGTGGTGTTGAATTGGTATCAAAAGAAAGGACAGCTGATGACCAGCCGTTATTGCGCGTGCGGCCACGAGGAGAGAAATACGAGGTCAGCGCCATGACTATTGAACAAATTCAGATGGTCCTGAGAATGGCAGGAGATAAGAAACTAGCAGAAACCAGGGCTTGCTGCGAAGGTAAGGGTTTAGTACCTAGAAAATGAAGCAAGTCAAAACTAGTATTCATTACTCCATTTAAATTGTTTTGTTAATTTTTTTCTCTCTTTTATGTATCTAATTTATTTATTTTACTGTAATTTTCAGATTTTAAAGCTTTAAATAAATATTGATTTTTAATGCATTATTATTATTATTATATGTTTGTATTTCATAGCCACTGATGATCCTTATTCTGACATGTTGGGAGATGCCTTTGCCATTGTACCTGGGAACGTAGAAGGTGGTGAATATGATAAGTCACGCTACAGGTTGATGGAAGAAATTATGAAAGGTGGACCTGAGGAAGAGGTGGCAGAGAAGAAAACCACTCTAAAGCTTCTGGATCATTTGTTTAGATTTGACAATGAACTTCTTAATAGGAGATTACAGATTATGGAAAAGTAAGTTTTTAAATTAAAAAAAAAGAAAATTCTCGGCTTTATTTAAAAAAAGTAAAGATTATTTTTTTAGAAAAGATGCTAGAAATAACTTGATTAAGGTAGAGACAAACATTAGAATACTAGACATTTTTAAACATTTTGTATACTATAGGTGAAAAGATTTTATTGTCAATGATTTTACTAAATCATCTGAGATTGTTCATTTGTATTCTGTGTATATTGAATAATATAATTGTGTGTTGTTTTACTTGGCCTATTACAGAACCATCCGCCTGAATCCATCAGAGGTAGAAGACGATGTTCATAAACTGATGAAGTATTGTGGTGAAGATGATGAAAAATGTCTTCTGGAGGAGCTCAACTTTATGCCTGGTAAGAAAATTCTTATTCATAATTAATAAGTGTAACTGCCCCCATGTCAAAAAAATTTTGTTAGGTAGTTCCGTGTGCTGCCACAGGAAAATAGAATAAATTGGAAAAATTGTGATATTGAATTTTGATTAATCAGATACAAAAGGAACCAATTTTACCAAGTGCTGCATACACACACCTTAAAAGAGGTTTCACAGTAGCAGAACTTAGAAATTTAGTTAGATTACCTAACATGAATACATTTATAATAAATATATAATAAATGTAATGCATTAAGGTAATGTTATCTATGTAAAAATTAGAATTTCTTTATTCATCACAGAAGGTGAAAAAATATGTTTGGAAGATTAGTATTATAGATGGTAACACTGCTATGGTTTGGATTGCAGAATTCAGCACTCGTTTTTCCAATGGCTGCCGCGCCCCTCCCTGGCGTCAAATTCACGGAGATATCTGCTACTTGGAAGCTAAGGCCCATGATGTAGACCCATACATCTATATTACAGGAAGCACCAGTGGTTACTACATTAATGGGGTAAGCTCCTTGTTTTATCTTTTTAAATTTAGATATAAGAATTATACATGAATTATAGATTATAGATTAGAAAATAAGAATTGGAGACTCGAAATAGATGTTAAGATCTTAGTTTTCAAGCAAAAAAATTCTTCTGAACAGTTTGAAAATTCAGAAGGGATGACCTTTAATATATATATATATTTTTTTTTTTGTATAAAGATATTATCACAAAAGATACAAGGACATCGTTATGTTTTCGTTTTACAGGGTGTGGACAAGGAGACACAAAGTCTTAACTTTGACAAGCAGGGAGAAATGCACAAAGATTTAATAAGCCTGCTCAAAGAGAAGAGTCCTAAGTTTGCGGAAATTGTTGACAAGCTGGTGGGTAAAATATTGCTTTCTTCATATTGGTTTTAAAAACTGAAATTTCAGCACCCTAAAATCACACAGTGCAGCATAGAATTTTTTTTAAATTTTCTCTTACTGAAATTGCACAAATGTAGGAAAAGTGAAATATTTGTGTGAAAGATTTTTTAAAAATAATGTTTTATATCACCTTCTGAACAGAAAAAAAATTAACAACAAAATATTGAGACGTTATTTATATTATATATCTAAAATGTAAATATTTATGATAGGTTTTGGTTTAATGATTTATACAGTGAAAATATCATTGATGTTTAGTTTAGAATTGCTTACTTTCATTTTTTTTAAATTTAGGAATTTGTAAGTCATCATGACTTGAAGGAGAGTGGTATAATTGACACCACAGCAGATCTGGACGCCACACCCCGGGATGGAGAGATGACCAACAGAGAACAGACACAGGTCAAAAGTCAACAACAAAAAGAAGAAACTAAGCAGGAAAAGACACAGAAAACTCAGAAAAAACAACAGCAGAAGTTGGAGCCTTCATTAAAGTGGAGAAACCTGGGTCTAGAGGAGCAAAAAGAGCAGTAAGCAGACTTTTTTCCTGGCATTGTTATATGCAACTGTTTAGAAGTATTATTGGTGTTGTTCCGGAATGAAATCTGAAAACAAGTTCACTTTTGTTGTAAGAAACTGCTTCTTGTAAGTTGATAACAATGCAATGTCTGAGCTAACAATTTTATTTTCCATTGTTGAGATGTTATTAATAAAGGAATACTTTTTTGCAACAATGAAAATGCGATTGTGCAACAATTAGGTTAAATGCAACATAAGCAATTATGAATCATAATTCCATTGTTGAAGGTAACCGTGACAACTGTGTTATTTAAGGCATTTGATTGGATACTTATAAAAAGTCTCTTTGTGATTGGATGTTTCTATGGCTACATAACTGAATAGAATAATTGCATATCATAAATCTTATTGATTTGAATAGAAGAAAATAGATTTTTCACTTTGATCTAGATACCTAGAATTATAGAAATTTAGATCATGCCTCCTGCTGCCAGGTAGTGTTGCAATAGCCTTGAATATAATTTTATACTNCTATTTAAAAAAAATCATCCCAATGGTCCCTTCTCGAATTTAGAATTTTACTAGCTGAATCATAGTTCTAAACCGTACCAAGTGTCACAGTTCGCCCTCTTAAATTCTATTTTCCGCACGTGTACACACTCACGCACATACTGTATGCACATTAAAGGAAGACGATTTTTTTTAAATCTAAGTTTAAAACCTTGAATTCTGTTAACTCCAAGTCTCAGAGCGTGGTGTGTATATATCTGCCTTAATTTCTTCCAGAACGCATCCCCGGAGTGTTCCAGCAACGGTGTCCTATCCTGTGGTAGCTGCGTCTGTAATGAGGGCTACTTTGGACGCTGGTGCGAATGCAATTTGGAGAAACTGACCAACTCCACCTGGGATCAGTGTCGAAGGTAAAACACAGATGACCGGTGTAACGAAACCGAGGGTCCGTGTAACAGAAAGTCCGCCCTCCATTTAGTTCTAATGGTTAGGGTTAGTCTGATCTAAGTGGGTCAAAATCGAAGGAGAGGCTTACCTGTACAAATGGATGGGAAGCGTAGTCTCTATCACAGGGACTCTCTGTCACATTACAACGGCCTGGAGGCAGAAATTCCAAATGGATTTTTGGGGGTTCTTTTTCTGAAAAAAGCTATACTTTCAGCCTCCTATTATCAGTAAGGCCTTGTTGACCAAACTTGAGAAATGTCATAAAACGTCAATTGAAATTTGTATTTTGTTTCAGATCTTATAAGATTTCCAGCCTATAAGTTATATTGAATTTATTTTCATGTTCAGCAATTAAAAGTTACGTGTTTGATGGTAGTTTTTAACGAAAGAAAGTTTTTTTTAGGTTTTTCGGTGTTTGTTTCTTTTTCTTTTCTTTTTTTGACAATTTAAGTTAAATTAATTTACTATTATCCCAACGACAAGAATATTTATTTTCTCGTAGCGATGAAAATAGCTCGGTGTGTTTCGGCCAGGGAGAGTGTTTCTGCGGGTCCTGCTACTGCAACCGCGTCCCAGGAGAGAGGGTGAAGTTTGACGGGGACTACTGTTTTTGTGACAACACCTCGTGTCCACGAGACACTGACTTCAGGATGTGTGGAGGTAGGTTGGCAGCCTTCGTCTTTTTTTAATATGCTGTACAATGTGTTGTAGCGAGTCTGTAAAATGTATCTGCACAACATTTTAGCGCACAATTAAGTATTATTATTATTATTATTATTATTATATCTTAATAATGTTAAAACATACACAAGTCTGGGACATCCTAAACTTGAAATTGGTTCGAGCATTTATATTAAATTTAAATTTACTTTTACCCTAGATAACATAACATTTATTGATATATATCTAGGTCCTCTGCAGGGCAATTGTGTTTGTGGCAGCTGTGAATGTGAACCGGGGTTCAGTGGCGACGCCTGTCAGTGTAACTCCACGTCCGGCACATTACTGTGTACATCGTCCAATGGGGTGAGTGTGCCCTCCGATCACAGTCTCTGGTACAGCGTGATCTGGTACAAAATCGAATAAGAGATTTATTCAGTTTTGTAACACACTACAGAGACTGCTGTCTTGTGATGGCAAAACAAAGCAAAAGTCCGAGTTTTTTGTCTCTAATAATAGTTTAATTTGTAATATTTTTTTCCAAAGCACGCCATGTTATTTAGTCCGTTATATAACAAAAAATTAAAATACTTATAAAGAAATAAAAAATTACGGTAGGTGATGATTTTTTTTTTTTTTTTTTTTTTTTTTTTTTTTNTTTTTTTTTTTTTTTTTTTTTTTGCTGGGAATTTCAACAAATTTCTATGAAATGTCAGGATACACCCTCGTCAAAACCATAGAGAAAATAGTGATGTATAGATCCACTTTTGGGTTTTTTAAGTCGTGTGTAAATATAGTTAAAGATATTTGATAATTCCCCAGTGTTCCTCATAGTGTCTCAAAGTTTGGAAAGGTGGAACTTTGAAAACTGGATTAAAACCGCTTTGTTTTGAACGGTTTTAATAGGTAACTACAGGTAGTATAGCGTAGTGATCAAGAGAAAATTGGTTAAATATTTTTGGATTTTTTCTCATTCCTAATTTATTTATTTATTTATATGCTAAGAAAATCCATAACATATAATTTCAGTTGCTGTGTAATGGGAAGGGTGACTGTCGCTGTGGTCGCTGCTACTGTGACGTCAACTCCGGCTACTCCGGCCCCACCTGTGAAATATGTCCGGTAGGGGGTGCTGCAGTCGCGACCAATCATGCGATTTTCACTTAATAATTTTCATATTAATGTTTCATATTAATGATTTTGTGTAAATAGTCTTCATATTTACTTATCTATTTATTGAGTTTACTTAATTACATTTTGACTTTTAGGCCTATGCATAAGCAAAGATAAAATATATTACTCCTATAAATTAACATCTTCCCAAATTAAAAATTGGAACAATTTGTGGGAAAAACTCTGAATTATTATGTGCCTGGCCGCAGTTTGGTAAACTTAAGATAGTTCTCAAGTAAAAAAAGGATCCACAGTATTTTGTATCTCATATAAGTTAATAACTACCTTGCTTTGTTTACTTCCAGACATGTCGTGAAGTCCGGTGTCCCGATATCATAAGCTGTATTCGATGCACGTTGAAAGCACGAGTCCAAGAGGCGCATGTGTATCACAGTCCAGAGGTCCTTGAATTTGAAGCAGAGTGCGACAACATCTGCAGGTTACACGAAATACAAACGGTATCAGATATCCGAGGTACATGCCGTTTATCCCACTTAGACCCTCGTTTTAAAAATAAAATCCAAATAAACATAATTCAAATAAACGTCTTTAAAATGTCAAGAAACTACAGTGAAAAAACTTCATCAAAAGGTATTTTGAGTTAGAAAACGTAATAAAGCTTACTCGATCGTATTTTAAGCTCGTACAGAAGCTACACGACCCCTTGCTGTTTTAATATTCCAGAGGCGGACCTGTTTGACTTCGTGTGTCGAGTCCCCACTGGCCATAAAAATTGCTTCAACCTCGTCACCTACAAAGAATTGGGGCAGGAGAAAGTCGCCATGAAGATAAAGACCGTGGAAGGTAGGGTTTTGTATGAAGCTCTTTTATTGTGTCATCTCTTATTGTGACAACTATGCCATTTTATGATTATGATATACTATATAGCTCAAACGTGTCTGTTTTTTTTTTTTTTTTTTTTTGTTCCTTTTTTAATTTCACTATATTACTGAATCTTATTTACAAGTAGAAACTTAGTTAACGCGACTGTGATCAATTAAGAGCTCGAGAAACTGTAGTTGTTATTATTATTATTATATGTGTTGATTTAGGCCTGGGAAGGGAATAAGTGCCAGTGATTTGTTTAAAACTGATTAAAACTGGTACTTTTAAGGCAGAAAAACTTAGAAGTAATCTCGACCAAGCTCCCGATTTTGATTTTAGGTGAAATGTATTGGAATCTTCTTCTGCTCTCCGTTAAATGTATTCTTTATCGGATTTTCGCGTCAGATCTAATTTTCCACGAGAAAGAAGCATTTTGCTTCTATTCTGCGTTTCCTACCATTCCTAAAATCAAATTACTTAGTTTAAGGCAATCGCGATTCATTTCACTGCCAACCGTCTTCGCGTCACAATATCGGCATCATGCGCGCTTCAAAGGAACTGCAGTTTTCTATTCTATTTATTTTTGTAATGTCCGAATCGTAGTTACAAGCTGTGTGGGCAATTTAGACATCAAGCTAGAACTCAGGAATATTTTCAAACGTGTATGCGTAGAATTATAATACAACTTACTTGCAACATCGTTTGCTTTCAGAATGTCCAATGAACGAAACGGCCATGTATGACCTTATTTGGAAGTGTGTCGTCATAGACCTGGCTATCCTAGTTTTAGTTCTCCTAATACTACTGTTGTGGCGCCTCATAGTCTGGTGTATAGATAGAAATGCCGTACAACACGTATGTATGCCCCTGTGTGTAAATTCCATTGATCACATTGGATAAGCATAAAATCAAAGTGATCATGTAATAATAAAGCCACTGAGCACAAGCTAGAATTGTCTTGCTGTACGTTGTTGTCCTGTTGTTGAAGAGCAACAACTTGATGTACGTGAATGATGTAACAAACCTGACAACGGTCGGAGACTTGTGGCAATTGTGTTCATTAATTTTATTATAATATGATCAAAGTACCATGCTTATCTGCGATATATTTTGCTCATAAAAGCCGTCAGTATGGTTTTTGTGCATAAAATGATATCCGTGTTATGATATAGTAATGAGTCTCATAACGTTTGGATACGATTTTAAGTCGTTGGTTGAAGTTACTTAAGGTACACAATTTATGTTGAAAAAATATTGGTATACCAGAACGATTTTGGCATGCTAAATAAAATGATTTAAATTTTTTTCAAGTTTCAACATTTGAAGATAAAGCTCAGTTCATTTGACCCTTGTGTGATTCATTTTCCTTTCAGCCTATGATAGTTCCATTGGAGGAATTCCAGTCCACGGACGCTAAATAGCTCAACTCATGTTTGTCAGTATTAGGATCTCGAATATTTGGTGGTGGTTGGGGGGGGGGGGGGGGGTTTGACCCAAGAACACACGTTGAATGAAAGCGCTTAATTTTTTGTAATATTGTTGTTTATTTGTTGTGCATGCTTGACTCGAAAGCACATGCTGTTTAAAAGCGCTTAGTTTTATATGTTATTTTTTGTCATATGAAAGAATGAGCATTGTATACAACAAGTACGCCGAGTAATAAACATACTATAAAATGGCCAGATTACATACAGGTGTTGGCGTATACATGTAGGCCTGTGTAACAGATGAGACATTTCACTTATATAGTACATGTTCCACTACTAGTATAACAGACTGAACGATTCTGACTTTTATGATAAAATTGATAGTCATTGTGTTAGAAATGTTAGAATATTATGGCAACTTACTGGCGAAAATTAACTTGATAATGTCAAGGAAATGAGATTAAAGTGATTCAACCACTGGGCAATTCAAATAATTTTGGTTACAAACTGCTTACTTTTTTTAATGTAAAATGCTTAGTGTTGTTGTTTTTGGTATGAAAGCTTATAGAAACTATCAAACACTTATTGACTGTGAAATAGTTAAGCAATTATGGATAGAAGTGAAACAACGGACACATCAAGCAATTTTGAAAAATATTGTTATTCATATATTAAGTCAAATATGTTAAATAGACTTTACTGTTTAAAGTATAGGTAAAAATATCGATTATACAATGTGATATACATGTGAAATTTAAAAAAACTAAAAGTTAGTGTTTTTCATACTTTATTATGATTTAAAACAATTATAAGGCCCTTTACACATCGTCCGTTACACATTTAGATTTTGCACCGTTTTGAAAAATGGACAACTCAGTATCCTTGTCATAACGTTAAAGTATCACCTCTAGAGTGTGTTTATTTATTATTTTCTGGGTTCCCGAAAAAAATGAGCAACCTGAAAGCTCAGAGATTGTACAAATTTACGTTACCGATACATAGACTACGTTACCAAATTGCGTATAATTGTTGTTGTTGCTGTTTTCGTTGTTAGTTGTCCGTCGGCGCAACTATGTGAGTGCGTGCGGCGTCATACATGGGCTCACGTATGTTTCTACGTCACACATTCTTCTTTGTGACGTTGTTATAGGACTTTGATATCCCTCGATACAGACTACGTTACCTGCTTTTTTAATAAGTGTTATCTGCTTTCAACCTTTAATGAGTCATCACCTTATTTTTTTACTATACATTACGTTAAAAGAAAATAAAGGGACAAAAGAGGGAAGTTGTCTTAAAACGATTTGTTAAAGATTTTCCCGTGTCATATACGTTACCAAACTGTAAGGGGTTTTCACTCAACACCATACATATTATATACCCTCTACCAATGTGGCAGATTATATAGGGAAAAACGGACACACTGCCACATGACTGTCTATTTATCTAGAGACATATCTGTGAAAAATCAATCTGTCGCCCTGGTAGAGGGTACATGTTATAGGCTGTTAGGGATTTAGAGGATCACCCTCTCCTTTTTGAATCACGTTAGTCAGAATCGCACGTCACCCGTACAAAACGGTCATACAAACAATAACACAGGGCATAGACCTCAATTTCCAATAAAACGCAACAAAACATGTTCATAAACAAGCACTATCTAGGAGAATGCGGAGACTTCGGACGACCTGACACCAGTCTGTTATAAATAAACCCCAAGAAAGGGAGGAAGGACTGAAGGATAATTCTCCTCCTCCCCTGTTGTCATAGCCTGGTCCCCGCTATTGAATACCGTCACCAGTGCAGGTACTTGCACGACAATACGGTGTCCTAGTATAACCTGACGTGGACATGCCTCATGCGCTGTAAGAAAAGCGCTGTACGGTGCTAGCGACACACGTTGTCATCTACCTGTACAGCACTAAGTACCCTTGCTAAGATTGTAGACTGGAACCGTTGTCAACTTAGACTGGCCTAAGGCACGACGCTGTTGTCACTTTAAATACTGACGTTAAAATTTAAAGACAGAATTAAGCTAGAACAGGGCTAAGGACACGTGAAGACGCTATGTCAGTCGCCTCTATTATGTACGCGGTGGTGATCGCAGGCAGTGTGACAGGTAAGAGTCATTTTATTTGATATCTACAAGCATGATAGTGAAGTTGAACTCGCACTAGTATCTAAAAATCCCTGCAAACTGTTTTATGGCCATGAGCAAAATATTCTATGGAGCGTAGTTGTCTGAAGACACTCTGTTTGCTTGCACAGGTGCCTGCAAGTACTCGCACGTGTGTTTTTCATTGTGAGCGCACGTAGGCCTACGTTTTGCGTGAACGCGCATGTTTGTGTGTGTGCCTATGTTTAAATAAGTGGGTTTGTATACAAATCTGTCTCCTTGCGACAACTTGTTTGGATATGAGCGGGTGTGCGAGTGATAGTGGACTCGAAACTGTTTCAAAGAATTTGAGTAATTTTTACTCTATCAGTAACGGCATTTATGTTAAAGTGCTAGAATTTGCGGGGTACGTGTGTTCAAGAAAAAAAGTATATATATATAGACACACACACACATAAAGAGTGAACAGGTCTTTGAGCTCATTATAACTTGCGCCTGTGGAAATATTATTTCAGTTTTCATGTCCCAATAGAGTGGCAATAACAATATTTGTACCGCTGAACAACAATGTAGTGGTGATTGTAGTTATTGTAGCAGAGCACCTGCTTTTGTTTATTTTCTTTTATTCTATGATGTATTTAAAGTTAATTCTCGTATAAAGCGTCTGCGTTTTCTTTCAGTCTGACGCCCATTGCAGTGATTAGGTACCTTTAATCGGCGATGTACAGGTTTTATTTTTCTTTCCTTTAGCCTCGCATACACACAGTTCCATTCCTGTAAGTCACGTGTATGTCAACAAGCACTTGTCCCGGTCAGTGACCTTGACCTGCGAGCACGCGGGTCACATGACACAGAATAAACTGCAGTGGTTGAAAGACGGTCGTCCCATAACAGACCAAACAACGCCGACTGTTATTCTACCACCCTTTTCAGCAACTGGTCGTTTCTCTGTAAACCTTCATTATTCCTCGGCCAGCCATAAGTGGGCACAGACCCTTCTGATACAGGGTGAGAGACGCAACTGAGTTACACGTGAATTAACTAACAGTGGATTTGGGGTTGCAGAATTATTGTAGGCCTATAATAAAAGACAATTCTATTATTGCCGACATGCCCTAAGGTTTAATTAATGATACCAACATATTACTATATAGTAATGCTTTACTAAGCCCCCATTCATAATAGGGGACTAACTAGTCCGAGGGTCAAATATGGCCGACCAAATTGAATGCTTCCCCATGGGGAATCTATTCAGTGTCTGTTAGTGTATTAGATGTCATGTTGTGTAGTATATTTGACCCTCGGACTAGTTAATCCCCTATTCTGAATGGGGTCAAAGAGGAAATACAAACTAAGGCGTGCAAATGAGAATGATACATGTCTCGTGTGAATAATTGTCCTGCTTCTTTTTTATTTTTTAAATTAACATTAGGTATCAATTTCTACGACTTTACAATACACCCATTCCCAGTGAAAAGATGATAAAAATGACTTTTTTAAAAATGAGACTAAACCAAGTAGTTGATGCATCCCTCTGTCGTGCTGTCAAAATCACTCTCGTCTACTATTCCATATTATGCTGTTCTCGTAGCGAGATAAAATATTCCACACAGCAAATGTTTCATTTGCCAGTAAGCATCAGTGAAAGAGTTATGTGCACATTTAATCCACCACATAACATGATCAATTGAAGTGTTCTATTACCAGGTGTTACGACTGCCGACCAAGGTGTCTACTCCTGTGTGTCCATACAAGACAACGATACTAGAACCATCGTCAAAAAGATTGTAGTCAGTAAGTAGCGACATGAAAGAAGGTCTTGCATCTACATGTACCCTCCACCGGGACCACAGATATTTCTTTTCTAGATATTCACGGATAATTTTCTGGTTTCTTCTGGACATATGCCTATCTGTGCTGAGAACGTTCTGTGCAGAATTTAAATTAATGAATAAATTGATTAATAAAGTTATTATGAAGCTGAAGAACATCATTTCTAAGAATATAACAACAACTGAGAATCAATATTGTTAGTTACGTAACTTAAATTAGGTTTTTAATGCTCATTGGACTTAGAAGGTAGATGTGGAGCGTAACATTTTGTTATTGCTGCTAATTGTGTCAATCAAGAAGTTATAACTTCTTGTGTCAATACAGTATACAGCTGTTTGATAAACTCTCTCGTCTTCCAGGTTTTCTCTACGAGTCCGTCTCTCTCAGTGAGGCTCGGGTAGCAGCGGGCACAGTCTACGTGGTGGTGGGAGTATTGGGCTGTGTAGGACTAGCCATCGTCGTGGCCGTGTTGTCTGTAATACTGTGTAGAGAACGACACAAGCCGCGGAGGGATCGCACGAGACGGCAGAGGAACAGGCGAGCGCATCAAATCACTATAATGACGATTGCTTAGAGGAGGCAGCGGAAAGTCTACTTGGGTTATATTTTTTAAATCAAAGGCATTTTATAAATCACACAAAGATGCGCATGCGTTTATCGGCACGTTCACGCGTGTGACTTCACAGGTTGATTCTTTAGGTGGAGCTGTATTAGTTGGTCTATTACCAGCTGCTTAATTAGCACATATCCTCACTGTTCCCCAAGTGAAACACGAAACATTTACATCAAATATGAATTTATCCACTTCAAACATAAACCGTGCCAATACACGTGGTTTTATTCTAAGGAGTACTCTTCATTTGTTATATATAAAAACTACATGTAGTACATATTTCAATATATTTAAATTCATAAAAGAAGTTCCACATCAAAATAACCATAAACGTACACAGTGTACTTTTTCTTGAATATTTTAATGTGATCATGCTTTAAGCAGTCGTTAATTATTATAAATTAAATGTTAATTTTAAAAGATTAAGATGTTCTTTCTCCATAACGAGAGCAAGTCAATCTAGGATCATATCAAAGACATAGAGCA